TTCATGGTCCAAATCTTTAAGCCGTGGCCTCCCCGTTTCCCCGTGTTCTTCTCAATTGAAATTCGTGCTCATCCCCCTTCGGTATCCATATTTGATTCCACGTTACGTTAGTGCATGAAATTCAATAATTTCATTTTTGATAGATAATAATAAAAAATCAATTATTCTTATAAAAAAAAGCTATTCGTTGCTAAAACTAAAATTTTATTAGATTAGAAATCTAAATTTTACTGAATTAAAAATCTTAATAGTTACTGAATCAATATCAATATTTCATACTAATTTAATAGTTTTATAAAATTTTTAATTCAATAAATTTAACCCAACATTAATTAAGGGAGACAAATATAAAATACTATTAAGTGCATCTTTTTGTATTCATGTAAGTGCTCGTTCAGTAGTTTAGATAAGAGTATATTAAGATATTTTATTCATCTTTATCTATATTTGATAAACTAGATAGAAAAAAATAGAATAAAATCCGAATAGGAAAGTGATTAGGTAACAATTAGTTTAAATTTAGATAATTTATATTAAGAGGATAAGGATGTGAAATAGAATAATTTTATTCGATTTTTATTTAATATTTTTTAACAATATTACTCTAATTACTCACACTAACTATTACTACCACTAAATAATATAATTATTTAAATTACTATATAATTAAAATATTTTATCTAAAACTTATTTTTATGGTATCTAACGTATGAAACAACCCGTGGCTGGACAGGAGACCGGGTCCACGGGTGTGATTCTGCCCCACACTAGTCAAATTTGAATTCATTGATGATGTGGATTCGATTTGGAGACACGTAGCCCGGTCTATCTCTCCCCGTTGATTTAAGTGGGCGGGAGGGTTGTACGAAATAAGCTTAAATGAAAGATTACTAGAACCACGCATGAAATGGCTTTTTCTCCTCACACTTGCCACAAATATTGCTTTGCTTAAATCACTCTCCGCAGGTGGCTTGATTTGCGGAAAAAAAAAAATAATAACAATAAAATTTATAATATAAAAATTTAATAAAAAATTTAATAAAATTAAAAATATAAACGCCTAAATTGTATAAAAGTTATGTCACTTGACACTATTTTAAAAAGTTGATTGTATTTTCTCTGTACAAATATTGATGACTGATTACAATTTTAAGATAAAACTCAATGATTATGCCGTTATCTTCTAGCATGAACACATCACGTGAAGATAAGAATAAAATGTTGTTAATTATCCAAAACAATATCAACATATAAAGTAAGAAGAAGAGAATATGAAAAAATATGTTTGTTATTATACACGTGTCTAAATTCTTAACACCTTTATTTATAGTATTAAAATAAATACATAATAATCAAATAATTAAAAATATAATTATTATTAGTAAGTTATTATAAAATTAAAATTTAGGTATTATATAAAATAAATTAAGATATTATAACATTATTTAAAAAATTATAAAATTTATCTTAAGGTATAAAATTTTTAAAATCCAACAGCTTGGACCCCCATATTTCCAGTCAACGAGAGAAGACAATCAGCCTCACAATAAGTTTATCCAATCGTGCATTTGTTACCGTGCCTTTCTTGTACGTTTGATTTTTTTACCGTGGCATTAAAAGTTAGTTTGTGAAAATTTATCAGAAAAAGTCAATTTTTTAATAAATATTACACTTCTCGACCAAAACCAAACCAAAACGGCTGGCCGACAATTAATTATACTAGCATTTAGTGTCACGCCCACACCCATAACAAGAGTCAATTTTGTCTTTTAAAATTTATTTCATGTTGTTTTATACTGATATTTTATGTACATACATCATTCATATAAATATGATACACAATACAACTTATATGTTTCATTTCACAGATTTTAATAATTTAAATTATTTATTTAAGTAAAATCATGAATATAATATCAAATTCGTGAGATTAAATTTTAGAACATAAAAATTAGATGGATTTAATTGATTATTTACGGGGTTTAATCGAGAAAATTAATTTCCTAACAGGATTTATTCAACATATTAATAACTTTGAGGTGTTACAGTGCACAGAAGAGAACACAGCTTCACTGTCCCGAGACTCCTTCCTCCATTGTTACAAAACTTCAAGCCCTAGTTCAGTGACTTACTCAAATCACCCCCAGTCTCCATGAAAATTTGACTGTCCATCCCACAATCCATAAGGAGAAAGTTTGTTTGGAGGAGGAATTTTTCAACTACAGTTTTAGAATTTTTCAATTTCAATTTCAGATTTCCGAAAATCGATCTTGCTATTGTCCAACGACTACAGGCAGGTAAGAATTTCCATTAAATTGTATTTTTATTTACTTTCAAGAATTATTCCATTTTTTATGAAATTTCAGTTTATTATAAATTTTTAGTGACATATAAAATTGTATTACTCCAAGAATTGGATTATATAATTATAGTAGATTGTTAAATATGGTTAAAATGTGTAAATTCAAATATTTGGATTAACTGTATTGGTTCAAGCTATGAAATATAAGAACATATTCTTAAATTATTTGGTTCATTTTTGGAAGAATTTCTTGTGAAAAACAAGACGCAAATTTTTCTATATTTTAAAAATTTTCAGTAAAAAGTTGGATTTTGAGGTCAACTTAAGCTTGGAAAATGACTTTTTGAGCATTTTAAATATCAAATATAAACGTGATAATATAATTTGAAATAGTTTTTTCATGTAAAACCTTGTTTGGTACAATACAAACAAGTATGAGTTTGGCATATATCATTTCATGTATCAGATCATTGACTCGCATGGGTGTAGATGTTATGAGTTATATACACTTGATTTGATTAAATATATTTAGGCAAACGGGTGAACTTACAAAGTGGTTCAGAGATTTCCAAAACTACTTTGGCTTATTTTATTAGGCCAGTGGTTTTAATCTAAGAATATGTTTTAAATATTACACGAGAGATTATGTAAAATGCATAATGAATGAATTATATAATTCAAGTTTATGGTTGTGAAGATGAATTGAGTGTTTATGATTTTAATAAATGTTCATGATTATATTATGATTATATGTTCATGATTGAATTACCACGAGAATGATATTATAATTAGGAATAGATGATGATAGTTATGTTTCAAGGATTATAGCAAGAATTATAATATATTATTTGATTGAATTGTTTATAAGATTTAAATTCAAGTAGTAAGTTATTATAAATCAAAACGAAATGTTTTAAAATAAGATAATATAAATATTATGTATTGTATGTATGATTTATGTTAACTGTAACATTTTTGGCATATATTGTTGAGGGTAGATAGAGTGTACACTGAACTTTTACAGTATTAGTGACAATATATATTATCATGATTTAGCGTTTAAATTGAAATTATTATTACTATTGAAATGGTGTATGAATTTATAGTTATATAATACTCTTCTCTTAACAAACACAACTTCTCCCCTTTCGTGTGTCAATGAATAGGATTGTTTAAATTTGATTCAAACCAATCGGATTGACTCAATCTAAAACAAACCAATCAAAATTAAAAAAAATTAGTTTAATTCAATTTTAGAATATTAAACTGATTAATTTGGTTTGATTGTCAGTTTTTTCTAAAAAAAATAAAACCAAAACTAATGCGATTGCATATATGTAATTTTATTTTATTTAATACATATATGTGTGTGTGTGTGTGTGTAGAGTTGAAAAGAAAGCCAAAACCCCAACCTACCTAATTTTATTTAATACATATTTGTTAGAGAACAGAGGAAAAAGTGATGGATTGCAAATTGATGATCCATAATGCTGTAAAGTCACACATCTAGTTTCATTATGATACGGGCATTATCAGTTTGGTGCCACTTGCTAGTGGGAGGATGAATCACACTAAGAGATGAATCAAGGAAATGCAATATGTTGATGAAATTGTTCCTGACATTCTTTTTGAGAATAATACTTGTCAAATTGTTCGGCATGCAACTTTTTTGTTTTCACAATTCTCCATAACCATATTTGCTCCACTATGTCTTGAGAGAAAAATAAAAAGGCAAGTTAGTGGTCTGAGTTCACATTCGTGCAAATCATGTAATACACTCCCAAATTTACAACAATTCCTAGATAAATTTGAGCACTTGTGTTTTTAAGCAATTTTAAATAAAATCAAATGCCCCCTAAGCCACATAAGGTTGGCGTGTTTGTCCTCGTTTACTTAAGCTTGTGCAGATAATAGCTCATCACATGACCCTCAAGCTCATCAAATCCTTGAGAGGGCAGAGGTTCTTGTTTATTGCTTCAAACGAGTATTGCTTGTTTTCTCACTATGTTCTGAATGAGTATGGATTTATTTTTTAAGTATTGCTTGCTTCAAATGAGTATTGCTGACGTGATATTACCATGCTGTGTTTTGGTGGCTCAATTTGAACGAAAAGAAAAGTAAAGTCGTTAAAGAAGTGTGATATCTCTTATTTGATATTCGATTTTAAGAAAAGAAAAATACTAGAAAAGAAAAAAATTAGTGGAATCTACGTATTTTTCATCCACCTATTGATGGGTAAATTAAGAGGGAAAGAGCACGTGCTTATTTTCTCACATTTTTAATCTAATTTTTGTAATCCTTAAACTTTTTATATTAATTCTTAAATTTGAAATTTATTTATTTGAATACTTACCAAAAACTATAGAATTTTATTTTTCTAATTAAATTCTTACAATATTTATTTATATATATATTTCCTTAAATGAAATTAAACAAAAAAAGAAAGTATTCTTATTTTTCATTGAATACCAAATTAAAAAAAAAAAAAAAAAGCCTCTTCTCATCCATTCCAATTTTTTTTCTTTTCTTTCTTATTGTATGCCTTCTTTTCCTTTTCCCATTACAATACCAAGCATAGCCTTAGCGCGCGCAACTCCTATATAAAGCGTCCTTGGTAAGCAAATATTTCGCGATTGATTTATCGACTCTTACTTGAGTTCATCCGTTATTTGTCACATTTTTGGGCCAGCCGGATTTCATGGACACGAAAGTGATTTCAACGGGAATCCGTTATACCAACCTGCCGGAAAGTTATGTGCGACCGGAGTCAGAGAGGCCAAAACTATCCGAGGTCGAAGTCTGCGAAGACGTTCCCGTGATTGACATGGGCTGTGGAGACAGAGCTTCAATAATACACCAAATAGGAGATGCTTGCCGAGCATATGGCTTTTTCCAGGTGCTTGATTTTTCTGAATTAGAAATATTTTTGTTGCAATTTAACTAGAACTCATCTAATTAGCTAATCCCGCTTGTAAAATTTTAGGTGTTGAATCATGGAGTGTCGAAGGAGGGGGTGGAGGAAATGCAGGGAGTGGCGAAGGAGTTCTTCCGGCTGCCGGTGGAGGAAAAGATGAAGTTGTACTCCGACGACCCATCGAAGACGATGAGACTGTCCACGAGCTTCAACGTGAGGAAGGAGAAAGTTCACAATTGGAGAGATTATCTGAGGCTCCACTGTTATCCTGCGGAAAAATACGTACCCGAGTGGCCTTCAAATCCCTCTTCCTTCAAGTAAGTTCTCTCGGATCATTCTTACATTGTTACTCGACATCGAAAAACCAAAATAAAAATAAAAATCTGATTTTAGGGGTGCATCATTTTTACTAATTACGTAAAATTAGTATGTCTAGAAACAGAGGTAGTCAATCGGTGATAGGTCGAACTTCTTCCTCCTTCCTCGAATTTTAGTCCAGAATATTTAAGTTTTCACACACAGACTCACACACATTCATTTTGAACCCACACGTGGCATGTCTATCAATAACCTTGTTGGACTCGCTGGAAGATAGAGAAGATTTGTTTTTTACTCGTCTGATTGGTAACTATTAGGGTTTTAATTTATTCTTTAAATTTATTTATTTAACTTAATTTTTTATATTTATTAAAAGAGGTTTTGATAATTGGTTATATAAACTTCCGAACTGCCAGAGATTTAGTTTTCTCATAAAAAATAAATATTCTGAAATATTAATATATTTTTTAGGAATCCTTCTGGATGGTGATGTTTAAGTCAGATTGTCGGTGAGTGACTTGTACTCCATTAATTTTGGCTTGATTTAATTTAGTTATATTTAAATCAAGAAATTAATTTTTTATTTAAACATACTCGACTTAATTATATTTAATTTAACTCATAAATAAAATACTTCAATTTATATAATTAATATGATAAATATATAATTTTATAATTTAAATAAATTTAATTTAATAGACTAATAAGCTATGTTAAATTCATCAATTTCGACATTTGTAAACTATCATAGGCTATGGCTCATTTTGAACAATTTTTACAATAAGTCTTTGGTGTTTATGCACACTTATAAAAAGCACTTTTACACTGCCTAAGACAGTTTCTAGTTTATAAGATATTCACAGATTGGTTTTTAGCTTTTATTTCTATTTTTTGATATTGAAAAAATAAAAAGTAAAAGGTGTTTTTCTGAAATTAGGGCTTTGATATTTTTGTCTTCAATGATATAATTGTAAACACATAAAAGCTATTTTAGGATAATTTTAGACAATTTTACCATCAAATATTTTATTCAATTTTTAAATTATCATTACTTTTTACTCATTTCTTCTTCTCTCTCTGTCTCTACAAAGACCTGTCACTGGATCTGCATAAACTCAAATCGTCGCTACATATGGTGGCAATCGCCACACGTAGTAGTCTCCTAGATGGCCGCTATGTGTGGTTGCTGCAATGACTGCACATAATACTGCATGGTGATAATCACAACAACAATCCCCTCATATGGGTGTTGTGTACAATAGTTATGCCATGCAACAGTGACAACAAAAAAAAATGAAAAATATTAGAAATTTTGAAAAAAAAAATAAAATATATAGAAGAGTAAATTTGTCATTTTAGTTTTAAAAATTTTCTTGTCATTATTTCATAAAAATATTTTTTAAACACTATTTTATTATTTTTAAATATTTTATAAATATCTTTTATTTTTAATTAAATTATTTCTATTTAAAACGCCTGCTCTTTATTTTACAAAACCTTACCGCCCCTTCATTTGCTTTATTTCTACTTTTACCGCCCCTTCATTTGTTTTATGTATACTTTTACCGGCGAGTGAGTGACCTCTCGACACGTTAACAGAGGACGGAGGTCCCTGTACTAACGAGATGTCTGCGATTGCAGAGCAAATAAAAAATGTGTAATATCATATCGTACGTTATAATTCAAATATAAAATTATTACATACAAATATTCGATCTGCAGAATTGCCATGTGACCCATGTGAGCTGCAACAGTTGTGAGCAGAGAGGGCCACCGCTGGGGTCAAGATTAAATACTTTTAGTATATATTATATCATATTTTTATAAACATAATTCGTACTAAAAAAGGTCGTAATTACAAATCAATTAATATCGAAATGTATACTATATATATTATATTAAATTTTAAACTCAAAATCTCGCAGGAGGGGTCACTTTTTCGATCCTGATCCCTGTCCTGTTCCCCGGCACAATCCACCTTACGTTCCTTTTTTGCCTCTTTTTTTTATTCGTCAATAGAATGTATAGGTAGCGTGCTCTTCCACAAAACCTAAAAGCGGCTTTATGTTATGAATGTTTGTACCATTGTCAGCGAGCCCCTAATTTTTTTATATAAATTTATTTATTTTCTAAAACTTGATCGTGCCCTTAAACTGTTAGGAATTATTTTTGGTTTAAAGATGAAAAACAAGGGGTGTCATTTAAAATTTTAAAATTTAAGATTTCTCCAAATATATATATATATATATTGTGACCTTTAAAAATTTCAGTTTTAGACTTTTTTTCAAAATTTAAAGTCGTGGTTCTTCCAATTTAATCGATCAGTTTTTTTTTATAATAAACATGTTTTTATTTTAACATTATGATTCTTGGTGTCCGGAATTCCGGTTCCATTAACAAGTCAAACCTCCGCATTACCGGTAGGTGCAGCGGCCAGCTGTTAATCAAAGGGCCCAGAAATCAAAATAAGAGGGAGGCTGACGAACTGCGTATGACGTAACCTTTATACGACTCCGTCTCTCTCCTTTTTCATCGTAGCGGTTTCTTAGTCTCTCATTTCTGACGTCATAATGCAAAATTGATGCTGATGTCAGTTTGATGTGAATTTCGGTTAGGTTTTTGTCACGTAGAATGGTTGTTAGAGCCGTCCTTGCAAGGAAAAAAGAAATGAGTAGTCGTCGTCTTCCGTCGGCTGATAGGGTTGGAATCACCTTTGCATTACTGCAGCCGCCCGGTGAGAAATCAAGAACGTGAATTATGAAGTAAGGCTGTCCGCCCGATCAAGGTCAACTAATGAGGATAAAGTAATTGGGTTGGCACGGGAATAAAAATTTTTAATTAATCCAATATTCGTTCCCACCGTCTGTTTGGTTGAAGGTGACGCCGTCGAAGCAATCATAGGCGAGATACGTGCCAAACGCCGGAGAAGCGTACGAGAATATAATCGTATTTTTAATAATTTATATTATTTAATTTTAAATAGTTGCCATTAATGCAATTGTGTTTTGTGGATGACATCATGGCATCTCTCCACCCCTCCTTTTTTTAATTAATTTAATGTGTAAATATTTAATTAATAGTATAAATTGGACAAGTCTAATAAAAATATTAAATTTCTTAATCTACCACTTTCTACCAAATTATAAAAATATTTTGTGACTAAAAATTTTAAATTATTTACATAATTCATGTTATTTAAATAGAAATTTATTTAATACTATTTTTTAAAAAATATTTTCTTTCCTGACAATGAAAGAGTTTGTATGTCATTACATACGCGTAAATCTCGTACTTGCACAAGCGGAAGGAGCATTGTCCTCGGCATTTTTATAATTGGGCCGACAAAGCCCATTCAGATAGTGGAAAGTTCGTTTAAACAAGTGCGGATCCGGCGGAAAAATTCAGTGCTGTCAAATTGTCCATGATGGTGCCAACCACATTATGGTGAATCGGTCCCTCCTCCCAAAATATTAAAAGATGAGATATTGTATTAAGGATTCGGTCGTGAGATTTTAAATTTAATTAATAATAATAATAATAATAATCACCATCATCACCATCATCATCATCATCACCATCATCATCATAATATTAATAATTTTCACGTCTGTTTCTTCTATGGCGTTTTTTGGTAGGGAAATTGTGAGTAAATACTGCAAAGAAGTTAGGGAACTGGGTTTCAGACTGGAGGAGCTGATTGCAGAGAGCCTGGGACTGGAAAGAGATCACATTAGGAAGGTGTTGGGGGAGCAAGGGCAGCATATGGCCATAAATTACTACCCTGCCTGCCCGGAGCCGGAGCTGACCTACGGGTTGCCGGGTCACACCGACCCCAATGCCATCACCATTCTTCTTCAGGACCTGCAGGTTGCAGGCCTTCAAGTCCTCAAGGACGGCAAGTGGCTGGCCATCAAGCCCCACCCGGACGCTTTTGTCATCAACATTGGCGACCAATTGCAGGTGCCCTTCTTCTTGTGGTCCAACCATATTACGGTCAAAAATTTATTGGCTTAATTTTACTACTAAATAGAATTAAACATTTTATGCTATTGTATATTTTCATCTCAATCTGTTTTACTTTTGTTATTATAAAATTAATAATGTTATATATAATATTAGTAAATTCAAAATTTTAGAGATTAAATTGAAAAAATTAAAAAAATTTAAGAATAATATGATTGATAGGATATAATTAACGAATTTAAATATGGAAGAGTACTTTTTTTATATTAAATTAGATTTTATTATTAGTATTTAGATTATTTATCAGATTTAAATATAAATTAACTTGCAAACTTCCTATCGGATATTAAATTAAATTTAGATATATAAATAAATAATTAGATTGAGATTTGAAATCGAATTTATCCAATTTGATTCAAAGACTGTTTACGACCTTATATCAATATTTAGATTTTTCAGTTATTATTTATTGATTTTTATGAAATAAATTAAATTTTAAATACATAACTAAACTTTAAAGTGACTCAAATCAATTTAGCAAGTTTGGGCTTCTTGTTTAATTTATTAACCGATTATGGATCAAGATCTAAACTTTCTCTTTCTCTTTCTTTGTCAACACAATAGAAGAATAAAAATAGAATGTTGCTAAATTTAAATTGAGCATTATATATTTGTTTTAACATTCAAAGGGATTTTGGTTTGACCCGGATCCATTTCGGTTTGTATTAAGGGAATCCTGTAACATGTTTAGTCTGTTATCTATGTATGTAATTGGGAGGGATTAAAAATTAATAATGCATAATTACAGGCTTTGAGCAATGGGAGATATAGGAGTGTTTGGCACCGGGCTGTGGTAAATGCAGATAAGCCGAGGATGTCTATAGCCTCTTTCCTCTGTCCCGCCGACGATGCCCTAATTAGCCCTCCAAAGGAGCTCACAGAGGACGGAACTGGAGCCATTTACAGGGATTTTTCATATGCAGAGTATTACAAGAAATTCTGGAGCAGGAACCTGGATCAAGAACATTGTTTAGAGCTCTTCAAGAACTAACCAAATTCCCCTGCCCTGTACCAATTCCTAGTTTTATTTTTGTTTCATTGCGATTTTTAATTGTTTAATTTCTTATTCCAAAGCTCTAAAAGTCCATTAAACAGTTCAGAAAAATGAATAGAAGCTGAAAAAATATCTAATAAAACAAAAAATAAACGGCTTTTGAATGAAAAATTGGATTAGGAATGGTTGGATATTCGCAAAATTTACTTGACTAGGAATAGGTCTCTAAATATTACAAAATAAGTATGGGTACCGATTTGGAGATTTTGACAAGTATTTTATCTGATATAAGGGGGAAATTTCCACCATCCGGGTCCTGTCTAATAAAAGTTCAAAGCATACCATTAGATGTAATTGCATTTAAGTTCCCTTAGCTTGTTAACTACCTCCTTCTAGCCCTTGTAATTATGAATTGATTATGAAAGAGTACCTTTTTTTTATGTTAAATTGGATTTTATTATCTATTTGAGTTTTCTTTTAATATATTTTAATTTTTAATTTTTTTCATGTTAAAAAAAATAATTAATTAAAAATAAAAATTCAAAAAAAGAAAAAAGAAAAACAACTCTATTTATTGGGCCAACCATACCCTTGTTTTACTATTTCTAATCTTAAAATTTGTGATCACAAATAAAGCTGGACATGATGGATTTAGGCTTGCCCTCAAATTTCATCTGCCAAACCTCTGAATGTTGTAACTATCGCAAGAATATCAAACTTACGGTTGCCAGATCGACATTAACGTGACTAAAGCGTATGATTTGTTAATTAAAGAGTGAGCCTTTTGCTCACAAATATATTTATGGGAAAATTACCAAGCCAGTTGGCTTGTTTAATTACATTTGCTCGGAAGGATAGGGGGGGCGAACCGGTTCGTTACTCAAACCAGAAAACTATAAGAAGAATAAAAATTTCTTTTAGTTTAAAATAATTTCAAAAAATATTTAGAGACCTGTAAGACTCGTCTAAGTTTTGAGCCCCTTTTTGATTGATTTTATAAAGTTCACTCTTTTAATTTTTTTGGTTTTAAAAAAAATTCTAAAAAATAAGCATTTTCAGAAATTAGGTTTTCTATTCTTTTCTTTTTAATTTTTTTCTTAAAGCTTAAATAGGACATATTATACCAAGAAAGTTATTTTTTTTATTTTCTATGCTTTATATTTTTTTGAATAATCAAATAAAAATTCTAACAAATTAGACTTTTCAAAGTTTTAACTTTTTGCTACATAATAAAATATAAAAATGAAATACATTGACCGCGGCATTCAGCAATGAATGTCTTTCTAAATTTACGTTCAACTCATAAGAATTTTATGAAAATTGTTATTTATTTTTAAAGTCAAGAGCTAAAATACTGATTTTAAAGCGTTCTCAACTGCTGCTTGTATATTTAAGTTCAAAGCTTAGGACGTAAAGAGGGCTTTCTATTTGCAGTCAAATTCGGCCAATCGGATTAGAAACCTTCTCTTGCGAAGTCCGGAGTTCCCTAGAACAACGATGACTCTCTTCCTACAAATCTTCCTTCCATCACTTCTCATCTTCTCCATTGGTATCTCTTCTACTCCCATCAACGGTGAACCCGCACAAAGAAATCTTGTCGATTTCGATCCTTCTTGCCCGTTGAATTTCCGCGGCCTTCTTAATATTGAGAAGCCGGGATGCTGCAATTTCAACGGGTTTATCAGCGTTTCAACCGAATGCCGTCTCCTTGTGCTACTACTTCTTGTAGTCCGATCCGATTATCTCCATTTTCATTCGATTCTTGAACAGAAGTAGAAGTAGAGAGTGTTCGGTCGCGTGACTATTTTGGGTTTACGTATACAAATTTTAAGCTCAAAGATCGGTCAGAAAGTCCGACACAATATATAGAAGAGGAAGTGTATAGAGTTTCGTGGATGAAGATGATCCGGCCATGGAAGAGTGCTCTGGCAATGCAGGCGAACCGGGAGAGACGCGTTTGACGAGGAAGACGACAGAAGCTAGTAAAGTTTTTTTCTTTTTTGGGTTTCGTAAATTAAAAGGGCATAATAAGGCTATCTATAAAAATTTTAACTTTTATTTGGTTGATCCGTTGTGTAACTTTTATTTGGTTGATTCTAATAATTTCTTATAGATTAAAATCTCTCTCTCTCTCTCTCTCTCTCTCTCTCTCTCTCTGCCGGACCCAACAGAAGAAAAAAAATTAGAATATTCCTCAATTTAACTTGAGAATTGTTTCAAGGAAAAGAACTTAGACAAAAGCTAAGGGGACATAAATTTAGATAGATTTGGATTATGTATTTGTTTCAAAGATCAAATGGGATCTTGGTTTGGTTTGGCAGAGATTCATTTCGGTTTCTATCAAGAAAACCATTTAAAATATTTAGTCTATTATGCATGTATGTACGTGTGTGTATACAAATATAATCTTGAAAGGAATTAAAAATCAACAATACATAATTGCAGGCTCTGAGAAACGGGAGATATGTTTGGCACTAGGCTGTGGTAAATGCCGATAGGCCGAGGATGTCTATAGCTTCTTTCTTCTGCCCCGCCGATGATACCCTTATTAGCCCTCCAAAGGTGCTCACAGACTCAGAGGACGGAACCAGAGCCATTTACAGGGTTTTTTCCTGTGCAGAGTATTATAAGAAATTTTGGAGCAGGAACCTAGACCAAGAACATTGTTTGGAGCTCTTCCATGAGCAATTAAGGGGGTGTTTGTAAATGCTTATAAAAAATCAGAAATTAGAGGTTTAAGTATAAATAGGTAGAAGTTAATTATAATAAATAATAGAGTATATTTTAAAATATGTAAAAAGAAATTTAAAAATAATAAAATTAATGTTTGAAATATAATTTGCATAATTTATTATAAAAAAATTTTACGTGAAAAAAACTAAAATACACTAACTAGGTAATTCTTGAAATTGTTCCAGAGGACATTGCCATTGGTACTGTAGGTCGTGAAGGTCTCGCTATTTGCCGCATGGCCATAACTACTGACCCTGAACCAACCACATATGAGTCCTTGCCATAGTTGGTGAACTTGTTCTTCGCCCTATTCCGAATGCTAATCATCTCTTAGAACCTTCGACAGTTGCTGTAAAGCATGGATTGAATGATGAAGAACACGGGCAATTTAGTTCTGGCATTGCTAATGTTTGTCCTTTGTCTATGGTTGCATGCTTATAGAGAATCGTTGTAGTGCTTGATGGTGTCCAAATAAGGTGGTGCTTGAGTAGTGTTTTAGTTGCCGAACCACTCTTGCTTATTTGGGGGACGTTGTCCATGGCAGATTTGGGGAAGAGAGAGACAAAGATTTTTGGGATCATTCGTAGGAGGTTGTGGCCACTGGTGCTAGCTTGTTGGGTGTAAAACCCCAATTTTGGGGAAAATTAGAAGTTATTTAAAAATTTAGAGCGTACTTGAAACAATCAGGAAATTGGGAGGGCTCAATTGAAAATTTAGAGGATTAAATTGAATTAAATAGAACTTTTAAGGGTCCAAACAAAGTTAAGAATAATTTCTAGGGGCCAAATTGAAGGAAGGCCAAACTTCAGGGACTTAATTGCAAAAATTTGAAAATTCACATGTAAAGTATGAACATTTGGCTTTTCGATTTATTTAACCATCAATTTGAGCGTTTTCAATTAAAAATTCTTTATAACCTTGAGCGATCGAGTAATATGAGCAAAAGCTCTCATCTAATTTGTAGAAAAGTAGCTTATAGGTTGGTCAATTTCAGCAGTCTGAAGCCAACTGTCCATCTACCATTTTTGAGTATTTCAAGCTTAAATTTTTCAATTTAAACCGATTAAAAGTTAAATTAATATTTTGGCAACCTTCGTTTCATCATTCCAAGCAAGCTAGAGGGATCAACTTGCCAGAAGTTGAGGTAAATTCTTAAAAATTTTCATTTGATATGTTTCGATAGTTCTGGGTTTAAAAAGATGAAACTTGATTGGGTTTCTGGGTCTCAGGTCATGGGCTGGTTTTTAGTCTAAGCCATGGGCCAACCCAACTAAAATCTGGGCTAGGTATTTGAAATATAAGGCTTGGGCCATGACCAGTGGGCCAAGCCATTAATAAGCTAGGTTTTGGGTTTTGGGTTTGGTTCAGATCCGATGCTGGATCCAAATCAGTAATTAATTAAGTAATTAGACAATAAATAAGAAAACAGCAGAAAAGGAAAATCAACCAGTTCAAAGACTTCTACACCGATTCATGGCTAGTTCATGACATGGTCAGGAAGGTAATTAAATAATCTAACTAGTTCATGGCTGGTTCAAGAGTAAACCAGCCGGTTCAATGTTAAAAATTAAAGAAAAATGGAATTTGATCACCGGTTCAACGCTATTAAGTCCGGTTCAAGGTAATTTTTGGCCAATTCAGAGGTTTTATGTCTGATTCAGGGGGTTTTATGGCCAATTCACTGTGTTTCATGGTCGGTTCAATGAATCTAAGGCTGGTTTAGTGCCAATTCATTGGATTTTAAGGCCGGTTCAATGAGTTTTATAGTCTGTTTAGTGGAATTAAGGCTAATTCAGTAGATTTCATGACTGATTCAGTTTTTAATTAGTTTAAGGTTCAGTTCAGTGATGTTATAATTGGTTTATTGTCAGTTTAACTTTTTAGTTACCGGTTCAAGACCATTTTAGTACATTAATGGTTGATTTAAAGGATAATTAGATCAATTTGGTACTTTAGTGGTTGGTTTAAAGGGAAATTAAACCAATTTAATAATTTATGAGCCCGATTCAAGATTTTAGCACGAGGGATGTGGTTTATTTGATTTAGTCGGGACTTTAAAATTCCCAATATAGGTTCAAACACAAAAATCTAAAAATATTTTCGGTTTTGGAGGGAAATTTAGTTCTAAATTAATTTTGAAACATATTATATTCTAAAAAAGAATTTTGATTATTTCTAAATCAACTATTCAACTCCTAGTGAGTCATATCGACAACCCTCGGAGTTCATGATTCTGCAGTGCTATGAGTAGTAATACGTACTTATATGATTCATTATTTTCTGTGTTTGCGAAATGTTCAATTTTTAAATGAATTGTTTTATAAATTTAGTTAATTCAAAATAGGAATTTTGTGTTATAAAAACTTACAAATGACGTATATGGCAGTTTTTGATTTGTTTAAAAATTTCCTAAACTATTGATTTTGATTATTGCTATGTTTGCAACGTTAAAATTTGTAACATGATGCTTGTTTCTTGATTATGGCAGACCATAAGATTGCCGTCACGTTATATGTGTTACAGCAGACATAAGGTTGCCGTCCTGTTATATGTGTTATAGCAGACTATGAGGTCGCCGTCTTGTTATACGTGTTACGGTAGACTATGAGATTATCGTTCTGTTTCCTGTTCAATTCTTTGTTTCGAACGCTATAAGTTGTATACATTGAAAATTTATGTGTTATTATTCACTAAATCGATAGACTCATTCATTTATTTTTTAAACTCAGATTTAGCTTACCTGACAAATTTTGCAGCTCAAGTGGAGACTAGGGTTCCAACTGATTCATCTTTTGATTATCTCAGTTAGTTTTGGGTTCTTTTCAGTTGATGTAGCTATTTTGTTTCAGTTAGCCCAAATATCACAGACAAGGTTCAGGTGTTGATCAGTATATTGTATTTTCGAAAATTTGTATCAGATTTTGAGTATTGTATTATATTAAGTTTACTCTATTATGTTTTAGTTTTGATTATTAGAGGCTTACAGGGTTGGTATTACTCTAACTCTATTATCGGTCACGAATCTGCCTGTTCGGATTATGACATTGGGGCTATTCAGTGGTATACGAGTAAGAAAATATATATTTGAGGAAAAAAATAAATAAGGGTCCCTTGTAACTTCTATTTAATTTACATAAATACCATTATAATGGAAAGCATGCCTTCCCCAAAAAAAAAATGATTACTATCAACTTAAAAATTTAGTAGTGGAAATTAAAATAACCAACCCAAACACCATGAAGCACTCATGTGCATTGAGTTCTGCAATTGTAATTTTTAAAAGCAAACATAAACATTACCAAGGTCCTCCTGGCTTGTACCAGTTCCAGGGTAAGCATAAAAGCGCTCAACCTGCCTAATCCGCCTGACTCGTCGCAATTCGCTGGTTTAATATAATATTTTTCTCTTAACAATTTATAATTTTACAACCTGCTTACTATGCGGTCGGGTGACGGTTTAAGATTTTAAAAGCCTGCCGCCACTAGATTCGCCTGCTAATATATATATATATATTTATTATTATTATATTTATTATTATCATTTATTCTCTATCAATCTTAATTTTTCTTACCTATTAGCTTACTTATTAAAGTGCTCAGAGTTAGGAAATAAAATTTTTCATTATTGAGGGAAAATATTTAGTATTAAAATAAATAAAATCATAATCTAAAAATTTTCAAAATAATTTTTTTTTCTCATTTTACTTAAAATACAAATATAATAAATCAAAATTAGGTATAATAAATAATATATTTATTCATTATTGGAAATTTGTTATAGTAATAATATATTTATTCTAAACACCTTAAAACATTTTTTTTATTGAAAGTGATCACACAAATATATTTAAAGAATGTATAATAAAGTTTTTTTTATTTTTTTTTACTTTATACAATAATTTTGTTTGGCTTAATTAATGCTTTTTTTATTTGAACTTAACAATAATAATTTATTTTTATTTAATTAAAGATATTAATTGGAAGTGATCACATGGAATTTACTTTATATTTTTTTTAATTTTGTTTTATTTTGTAATAGAAAAATCTTATTTTTGTATTTTTGATTCTTAAGATTTAAGTATTACAAATTTATATTAATTTTTATTAAATTGACTTATTCTAAATTATATTTTTATTAAATTTCATCTCTTGTATACTAACTCGTCAACCCGCCTGCATTTAACTAAGTCGAATCGCACGGTTTAAAACAAAAATAAAGCATGTTTAGTTTTAATGTTTTTGCCATCTGCTCACGTCAGGTCAGGTTAATTTTTTAGCGTCAACCTGCCCGAACCTGTCCGCGCTCACCCCTAACCAGTTCCTAGTTTTATTAGGATTTTTATTGCATAATTTTTTTATTCAAAAGCTCTAAAAGCCCATAAAACAGTTCAAAAAAAATGAATAAAAGCTGAAAAATTATGCAATAAAACAAATGTTAAATAAATAAACTACAGAGCCTCTTGACTGTGCTTCCAGGAAGGTTCCGGTGACTGCAATTGAGGAAGGAGAGGGTAGCGAGAAGGCGGAAAAACCGGTGTAGCATAACTGACGCGTTCGGGTTCTGGGTCGGAAGCTGACCCGCGAGCTCGGACGGACAGAGAAAGGCTCCTGGACCAGCCTTTGCCATGATCTCGCGAAGGTCGAGCTCGATGACGATTTTGAGCACCGTGAGAAGCACAGCGGCGCTGACCAGCCCCATGGCGGGAAAGCAACTGGCTTGTGCATTCGCAAGCTTCCCTTTTAAGGCTAAGTGACGATTTTGTCATCCATATTGATGTTGGCCCTTCTATTTTTCACCGCCTGGCCTTTAAAATTTGGGAGTGAAATTAGTCTATACTTAATTAAGTAATTAGTTTGAGATTATCAATAAAAACAAGATCAAACTCCAACAAACGGACAGCATAAATTATTTTAAATGGCTGCCGGAAGCAATTAAGAATTTCTCCAAGTAAATGGGGGTGTCCATCACCCACTCCCAATAGCAGATCAAGGTCCATTACTGCGTCTGCATGCAAACCTCTCTGGGTTGTTTTAATGATGTGAACCTTTTCATATTCTCATTCCAAATCTACGTCTTTTCTCCTTTTGCATTAAAAAAAATGAATCGATAAATCTCGGATGCATTTCTAGATTCAATAATTATAGCCTCTGTGTTCCATCTTTAAATCCCCAAATCCAGTCTTCGTCATCTGCCTGACAACCGCAGCATCGTAGCAGTGCTAACTCTTCAAGTTTCTTCAAGTTCTGGGAATTCAACCACCTGTTTTGATTTATTTTCCCAAACAAATTTCACGTGTTTGAAATTCTCTTAATATTTGTGCTCATAAATGAAAATTATACAGAAACAATATAGTTCTCAAATATTTTATTCATTTTTTTATTTCAGAAATATAGAAAACAAAAATTGAGAACCAAAAATGTATAACATAAATGAAAACAGACCCAAATTTCTCCATTTGCGAGACCAACTTGATTGGTTATTCAAATAACAACCAATTGAACAAATATGGTCCAACAGTTCTCCCAAATGAAGTGCCCCCAGCAGCCCCAAGATCCCAACTCCGTCATTGTTTTCACCAATGAAGTAAAATTAGCAGGTAAATTTGTTAGACATAGGATCAAACTCCAATCCAAGATTAGAAAGTCAGAAAAGTCAATAATCTTAATTATCAAATCAATATCATTATGAAAACCTAAATTCTTCTATAGATAAACTCTTTTATACACACACACACACACACACACACAACCCGCAATACTGATCAAATAATATCTCATAGAGCTCAACATAAATCACAAACAATCGAAATTATTAATGATAATAATAATCCTACAATTCTAAATAATCCCAAAATCTTCAAGATAGAGACAATAGTTTAATAGCAATAAACAAAATAATTTTTTTCAACTATGAGAAATTTGCTTCCATTCCCCATCATTTGTCTTTCGGTTACTCTCAGCACCGAGACAAAGAGAAACTAACTCTCCACGTTACAGCACTAAACAGGACTATCATCTATATCTTCCGAGTTGATACTTCAGAATAACCACTTACATGGTTTAGATCTACACTGGAGAGAGAATTCTGTTCCTCTGACTGGAAGGGCAGCATAGTGTTCCTCACATGGTTAGTGTTCATAGGAGGAAGACACCTGCATCCAAAATTTGAATAACTAGAAACTTTACTGGTTTCAATGTAAGCAAATGATGTATTTGCTTCAAAAATTTAAAAGGAAACTTGAGTTGCAAAACGCATGGAAGTATGAAAAATGTTGCGATTGTTGTCCCATGAAACAAATAGAACAATTAGCCTATCAACGGTTTTAATGATTATCTTGAATTAAAAAAACGCATTAGCTCAATAGTTCAATTGGAAAACAGAGAAATTACCAAGTTTGATCATCTATCTATAATGGGGATACCGTGAAGGACCATCTTTTAAGCTCTGACAACGTTGCAGATATTTTCTTATTTCCACAGGAAGAATTCCTATTAAAAATATCTTTCAGAACAAACCATACAGTCCATACATAAATCATATCTCCATCAATTGAATTCAGGTAATCCAGATAACTTCAATTACTCTCTGTTTTAATTCCATTTCTCTCTTTTCTGTGATCTCTATCACTTGAGCTGGTGATATACCAAGTGGGATGCTAAAGTCGACTCTTGATAGCTAAGGATAGAATTCCTACTATATTCATCCGAAAGTTATGAGGTAAGTTTTGCGAACATACTCAAACAAGATAGGAAGCCTTCCAATATCTCCAAATCCATCCATCCATCCATTCCTCCCTTTCTCTCTCATTCACTTGACTACAGATACAACCACCAGGTCCATGAGCTCCAAACTAGGCATCAACACTATGCAAATAGAACCTCTTTAACACTTCTAATTGTCACTACAGTCCTATCTATTGCTCAAACTAGCAGCAAATTCATAAGAATTGAATATGGTTGCAAAGTGATCAGACTAGCTTGTTCTGCAGAGAAGGTTTCCATTTCACCCTTATCATACAAAGTAACAGATCTCATACAACATTCCTGTTCATTTTTCAAGCTTGTGGATCTGAAGGTATAACAAACAATATATACACAAATAGCAAGATCAATCCTAATCTTATAAATATGCTACGGCCAATAACAGAAGATGATCCTCTTTCATAGCACCTATAAATTGTTGATAGGCAAACACCTATTCCCCCTTTGAGCAGTGTCATTAGGAGAGCAAGACAAACTTAAGCACAAAGGGCTCTTGAAGTGCACCAGGTGCAAAGCAGATCCATGCCTAAGTGAAGTCAAGTGCACTTTATAACACTTAGAAATAATTATGTAACAAGGATTTGAAATGCACTAAGAACAAATTTAGATTAATAGCACAGCTGGACTATATTTTTCAACAAGAAAAAGGAAAACAGAGAAAAGGGAAGACAAGTTCCACATTACGTGTGACAAATGAGGTAGGGGAGAACCCCCCCCCCCCCCCCCCCCAAACAAAAAAAAAATAAATAAATAAAATACCTTTAGAGGGAACTCAAAAGAGATAGTCTAGAGCCAGGACAGAGAAAACAAGACAAACGATGAGTGAAGTAAAATAATGGGTTTCAAAGAAAGACTGGGAAAGGGATAGGGAGAGGACAAGAAGGGATACAGATAGGAGGACAATGAGAGAAAAATACTTGGATATGAAGCAAGATTCTTTGACAACTCATGCTAAAGCAGAACTAACAGTTAAGAATAAGGTGTGCATTTTTGCTCCTCAGACCTCAACTTGAGGCGCTCGCATAGTGTGCCTCCTGTGCACTTCATTGAACGCATCTAGCCTTAGTTTCTTTTCTTGTTCTTTTCAATTTTTCACCATGTGCAGTAGCTAGTCCAGCTATAGGTCTGGCATACATCACCATCATCTAATGTCCAGTTCTATCATTGACAAATGACTATATTACAGTTTCTGCACCCCCACATGGATAGCTTGAAAAACATCCAGATATCAACGGCTAGTACAAGTTAGTAGGAAACAGCGACAGCTCCTAAAAATCACAAGGGTAGTAACCGAAAAAAAATTCAAAATATAGCTCACGTAGTCAAAATCGTAGCAACTTTAGAACCCAGAACAACTATACCAGTTCGTTTAATTTGATGAGTTAATGAACATAGACCGGAGACCCCATACCTCAAACTCTCAAGAGCTGCACTTCGTTAGAAAAGGCAATCCCAATCCAATCTGGCAGAGTCGCCGACCATTGGAGCTCGTTAATCTCCGATCCAGCAGAGTACATGGGCATTGGGTCAATCCCATTGGGTCCAGCAACCGTGGGCAACTCCCAAATCAGAGCCTGCCTCCCGCTGAGCAAACATCCCGGCAACTCTGCGGCGCCCACGCAATAGCGTTCACACTAGCCCGATGCCTCTCCAGCTCCACCACTGGCATCGTCGGCTGCCTAATATCCAATACCACAACCTTATTGCAGTCCTTTAAAATCGTCGCCATGTGCCTCAAATCCTGCTTGTTCCAAGCCAATCTCAAAAGAGGCGTGTCGGGCTGAGGATTCTCATAGATAATCGTGGAGTGCTCCTCGTCTCGCAGATCGAAGATACGAACCGACCCGTCTGCCGAGACAGAGGCGAATACCCCTGATTCGCCCAGGCGATGTCATAGACTTCTTTGTCGTGAGCAATCAACTGGGTCTCGACCGCTCCTCGTTCGATATCCCAAATTGTGCAGGTTGTGTCGATGCTGGGGGTGCCGATCCTGCGGGGCTCGACCTCATTCCAGTCGAATGAGGTCAGGTTGCGCAGAACTCGATGGTTTTCCTGTTATTGAGGACAGAGACTGCGTCGATGGAGCTTTCGCGAACCTCCCATGGTCGGAGGTAGTCGCCGGACGAGGCCGGAGGTCGCCGCAGGCTCTTCCGGCGACGGAGGAGTTGGGGTGGAACACAAGCTTGGTTGGTGGGTAGGGGTGAGAGAAGAAGAGATTGGGCTGGGCTTTTATGTTGAGGGTGTCTTCGTCGAAGGAAACAACGTCCACGCGATTGTTGTACTCTTCAATGAAGCTGCCCAGGGCGAGACGGTGGTGGTGGTGGTTTGGGGCGGAGGAAGAGAAGGCCAAGGCGTAGATAGGGTAGAAGGAGTCATAGGTGACGGAATGTTCGGATTTGAGGAGGGATTCCTGGGTAGAGTTCTCCATTTTTGCTGTACACTAGAAGGGTTTAGCAGATTAACAGTGAACTGGACTAGGATTGCTTATAAAAAGTGACATTTAAAGCGAACCAGAGAGAGAGGAGTTGGAGGAAATAGAGAGGAAGTTGAGGGACGTTATCTAAAAAATCGAATTGATGACCCTTTGCTTTTCTTTTCTTTTTTTTTTTTTTTTGGGTAAGGTGGAGGGTCAAGCCGCTAGAAATTAAAGAAATTATTCGATTAAACTCCAGGAAGAAAATCTTTCAAAAATTTATTAAGTAAAATATATTGGGTAAACTTAATCCTTAATTCTTAATTTATAAGATAAATTAATATTAGCTAGCAGATCAATCAATTTGTTTATTTCTCTTGTTGAGTGCTAAATCTCTACTGTCCAATTTTTCTAAAAACTTATTAAGTAGGTTGTCCTTCAACTAATTAGAGGATAAACTTAATACTTAATTCCTAATTTATGAGATAAATTACTATTAGTTAGCAGATCAAACAAATTGTTTATTTCTCTTGTTAGATGCTAAATCTCTATTACCTAGTTTTTTCTTAAGAGAAGCTTAAATCCTATGTAAATAAGTAATCCAAAAATAAGAAGAGGGTATTTTTACCAATGATAATATTCACGATAACTTTAGAGTCTATCTTTAAAATAACTTTTTTGCACCCCAAGTTCCAAACAAGTTTGAGGCCTTCCTAAGCACTTCGAGCCTTTACTTCCAGCGCTCTCGTACTTCCTATGTTACTTCAAAAGCCCCTTATCCAAATTTTTTTGTGAATTTTTAGAAAACTACCACAACTTGCTTGTCTCCCACTTTCTTTGGACACCTCATCTGTGTTAAGTTTGACTCATTTCCAAGGAGGAGGGGACTATTTAATGGGAACTCTCTCCATTCTCCCACTTTCTTTGGACACCTGATCTGTGTTAAGTTTGACTCACTTCCAAGGAGGAAGGGACTATTTAATGGAACTCTCTCCATTGAGTTAGGGCAAACTCTCCTAATAGGCTATTTGTTTCTACTTACTGTTCTCCACCATTTAATCACTTTGCATGGATTAGTTGCCCTAAAAAAAGTCTTCAAATAAACTCTTATTTTTCCAGTTCCAAATACACTAGCAAGTAATTGCCCATACTTCAAGTCAGGTTTTCCTCATTTGAGACAATAGATTAGTGAGGCACCACTCTTTTCCTTCCAACATATAGAATGTGGCTCTGAGAGGTCATGGCACCAGTTTGTTCTAGATATAACGAGCCACTGGACAGACCCTGAGGACATAGAGAATTGTCTCGCACCCCGCTTTACAATCATGGCAACCTGAGTCACAGCCGCTCCATTTAGACCATTTAAAATTAGTAAGGAGTTTCCCATGAAAAACAAGCCAAGTAAAAACCCTGATCCTTTCTGAGACTTTGAGTTTCCATATTTTGCTCCAACCTCGAGAATTAAGATTCAAAATATTACCTTGCAAAAGCCTATATGCGATTATGTCACTAAAGCTTCTAACACATTCTCCAGGCCAAACAACAGCATCAGGATCAATCTTAGGGGATGACGATGGGAATTCATGTAGCTTGTTAAGCGAAGTTGAAGCAAGTGACTCCCCGAGCTTGGCCCAATTCCAATCTCCATTAGCATCCACCATTTCCAAAACTTTGCACCTATTTGTCAAACATTCATCTTCAAGGCAAGATGAAGCTAAAATACAATCTAGGCTAATCCAACAATTTGTCTAAAACTCCACCATCTTGCAATTGCCAACTTTTTAAAATTCAAACTTAATGAGGAAGTTCCATCCAAGAGCAATATATTTCCATCCCTTAGAATCTGAGAATTTAATAGAGATGGACGAGGACCAATCCACACCTCTGCCATACTTCCCTTGTAACACTTTTGTTCAGAGAGCCTCCAAACCCGCTATGATACCCTAGCTCAACTTTATGATACATGCTTCATTCATAATTTGGAGATTTCTCATACCCAAACCACTCTTATCCTTAGGCCTGCAAAGAACTTTCTAAGCTACCAAATGAAATTTCTTGTTCATCGTATCACAGGCCCAAATGAAATTTCTCTAAATCTTTTTTAAATTCAATTATAGTTGCCCTTGGAAGTTTGCTCACCATCATAGGGTAATTGGGAATTGAGCTAAGCACAAACTTGGCTAAAGTGACTTTACTAGCCATGGAAAGGTGATTAATCTTTCAACCAGCGAGTCTGGACTTTACTTTCTCCACGATGTAGTTGAAGGTGTTCCTATTGAATCTCTCTTGCACCACTGGAACCCCAAGATATTCTCCATGTTGCATGATTCTGTAAAGCCTTCTCTCCCAAATCTCCCTACTTGTATTCTTATAGAAGAAATATTGGTTTTGCTTTTATTAACTTTTTGACCTGAAAGAGATCAGAAAGCTTAAGCATTCCATGACACACTTGATCTGATCCTCACTAGCTTGCCCAAATAGTAGCAGATCATTTATAAACATTAAATGGAAATCTGTGAGCTTTCTCGTCCTACTCTTATAGGAATCTAAACTTTTGAGTTTACCTTGTCCTCAATAATCTTGGATAATATCTCTATACACAAAACAAAAATGTATGATGATAATAGGTCACCCTGCCGTATCCCCCTACTAGGAAGAAAATCCTTTGTATAATCCCCATTTCAAAGAATAGTCATAGATGGCGAGGAAATGCAGCTCATAATAACTTTTAACAAGTTACCCTTAAATTCTACTTCTTCCAAAATCCCCTTAATGAAAGACCACCTAAGCCTATCATAGGTTTTTTTTCAAATCCACCTTAATAGCAGAAAAACCCTTTGCCACTTCTCATCTTACCCATTGAGTGAAATAGTTCACTAGCTATAATAATGTTATTTTGAATGTGCCTACCTGGGACAAAACTTAACTAAAGTGGCAAAATCAACCCTAGGAGAATAGGTTTGGTTTTATTAACTATGACTTTAGTAAACCCCTTGTAAATAACATTACATAAAGACATAGGTCTGAAATGAGATATACTCTCAAATAGTCAACCTTCTGGACGAGGACTGGTAAAGTGTGGTCAACTACTTTTACATCTCTTTTTCCTTCCATAGCTTCTCTTATGAATTAAGATACCTTTTGGCCCACAATGTGTCATGAGTGTTGGAAACAAGATGATGGAAAACCATTTGGGCTTGAAGTTTTGAAGAGGCTCATTTCAAAGAAAGCTTTTTTAATCTTATCCTCTGTCATCGGCTTATAAATTTGCACCAAATCCTCGTTGGACATAGTACATAAGAGGGGAGTAGTAGGTTTTGAAACTCGTAAGAAGCCTTATTCCTTGAAGAGTCTTTTATAGAAATTAATGGTTAGAGCCCCTAGATCCTCTTGATCTTCCATCCATTTGCCATTTTTCGCCTTTAATATCACAATTTTATTATTCCGTCTCCTATTAATTGTTTCGAGATGATAGTATCCTGTGTTCCTATCTCCCCCAATAATCCACTTGGCTTTGGATTTCTGAAACCATAATAATTCCTCCTCTTCTAATACTTGGGCTAATTCACAGTTAAGTTTGCTTTCAAGGTTTTCCCCAAAGATATCTTTGCCTTGACCTTGAAATTTTCAAACTCCTCTGAATACCTGAGATTCTTGCCAATAAAGACCTTTTTCTACCCTGAATATGACTAAAAATCTCTTTATTCCATCTTTTTTAAATTTTAAGCCACATTGACAATTTTTATCCTTAAAACTTCCTTCCCATTCCAAGGTGATTTAATACAATTATGGTAGTCCTTATGGAGAGTCCAAACATGAATAAATCTGAACAGTCTAGTTCTCTCTGCTTTCCTTAATACTGTGTATGGAAATTAGATGAATTTTACATTACATGTATTATGTCATTTGATTTAAATTTTGAAATTGAATTTATTAATAAATATATTTTAAAGGTACTATTAAGCATACTAAAAAAATATTTATTATTTACAAGATGTAAGACAATTAAAACCCTCGACACACTACTTTTAAATGTAAAGTAAATACGTTTGCCATTTTGGACTTCCCTTTATTTTAGTAAATTCGAATAGTTAATAATTTTGATAACAATTAGCATTTTTAAGTTATAAAATTAAATATCAAGTATAAATTTAATATTCAGATACAAGTAATTAACTTTTAAATATTTTATGATTCATTTACAAAAATAAGAGTTTCTGGTCCGATTTTAAAACTAAAATTATTATTTTATTTTACAAGAACAAAAGTTCTCTAAAAAGAGTTATCTCATATCCAAAAATAATTATATTTTCCTAATGCATATATTGCTTATAGAGATAATGTTAATAATTCTTGTAACTGTTTCGTTGCTGGAAAGAAAATTTTCAAAACTTAAATTAATAAAATCTTACCTAAATAAACAATGTTTCAACACACATTAAATGGATTATCTTTATTATCATTGGAAAAAACAATATTAGAAAAAATTGAGTATGAAAATTTTATTAGTATTTTACATCTTAAAAAGCTAGAAAAATCAGTTTTAAATAAAAAATTTTATATCATTTTTATTAAAAAGATAAAAAAAAATCTCAATTTTAAGTTTAGTTTTAGGCCACAAAATTTTATAACTTTGCCTTTAAGAGCTTATTCTTCCCTATCTTTGGGTTCAAAATACTCCTAGCTCTTTAATATAATTTTTTTAATATATACAATACAGTTAATCTTCTATAAAAATACATAACTTTTTTAACAATAATTAAAAATTAACTAAAAAATAAGAACAATACCCAACATTCCTTTTATTAGCAAACCAGAAAGGTTGTCTGGGTGGGAAAACAAGAAAGATGACAGCGGACAATCTGGGATAATGGATGAAAAAAGGTAAACCCCTTTATGGTGGGTTGGCAACAAGAGGACAGCGCCATGCACTTTCCGGGAGTGCCGTCGCAGTCTAAGAAGGGCGGAAAAGCCGTTTGGACAGCCCGGAGTTTCTCCCTCTTGTCGCTGTCCTTCTAAT